CTCTTTGTTTCCTGACTCTCAGGTTTACTACCTTTTGTTTCTTGCTGTCCAGTGTCATGAAAATCATTGTTTTATATGCTTTCTCCAACTGTTGGTGGGTTTAGGTGGTAGGATAAATCTGATCCCTATTATTACATTGTGGCTGGAAGCAGAGGACACATCAATATATTTTGATATACTACACTTTAACATACTGAAAAGCAGTAAGATTCTATTAAGAATATAGAACTGATCACATTTATAGAGGACAAGTTGCTTACATTTTCATGTTTTCATAATTTACATACTGACAACTCCCACTGCATATGACATATATGCACACATATAATTTCACCCAAAGTTTTAAAAATTATATAAATTAAGACAAAGTATGAAGTTTTAATTGGATCTGTGGCTTCCCATTTTTCTTAAGATATTTATAAAGATTCATTTGAATATAACATTATGCCTATTTTTATATTACTAAGATAGTATTTAGACTTTATAATTAAACACTCACTTTTACTTATATTGAAATGCATACCTTCAAATTCTTAGGTAAGATGAAAATAAGGCTAATACTGAGTACACTTAGGAAATGCATGATTAAATAGGTTTATATCCCAACATGGACTTTAGTTAAATACGGTGAATAAAAGGTAAAGCTAGTTAAGTACAAGTACTATTGTATAGTATAGATTAGAAGAAGAGAAGAAACATAAAGGACATAAAGGGAAAGAAGGGAAAGACAAAGAAAAAGAAATTGAAGGTAAAAAAGGCTAAAGGAAAGAGCAACCTGAAGAAGAATAATGTTTAAATCCATTAGTAGCAATGGTCCAGTATGGCCAGGACAGGCTGAGACTAACTTTGATAGGGCTGTCTGTGAAAATGGTTCAGATTAGGGCTTGAATTTTATTCTTTATTCATTCAGTAAATCTTTGTCTACTGTTTACTATATTCCAGGTATTGTTTAAAACAGAGGGCAGCAAACTATGAACAATGCTTATTTTTGTACAGCTTATGATCTAAGAAGAGTTTTTACATTTTTGAAGGTTAAAAAACAGGGTATGTAATAGAGATGGTATGGGCTGCAAAGCTTAAAATATTTGCTATTTGGTCATTACTGAAAAAGTCTGTCAACCCATGGTTTAAGATATGGGGAATACAACAGTATAAAAGAAAAAGAATGGGGGAGAGAAGGCTTTGCCCTTATGGAGCTGATAGTCTAGTAAGAAGAATACAGATAAACAATAAATAAGTGAAATATATAGTTTTGAGATGGTATGTAGAGATTTAGAATAAGGAGGGGAAATTGGACTGCTAGAGATGAAGTTTAGACTGCTTTATGGCCCATATAGCAAAATGAGGAGGATAGTCTTAGGATGAGGAATGATTTGATTCCTCAGAAAAGCTGTACTTTTTGAGGTGATAAAGGTCATAAATAGATAGTGGCAGGCTGAGATGGTGTCATTTTGATTGTGATTGTGGTGTTGTGGTGGGGGAAGTGAAGGGAGTGGTGTATTAACTCAAGTCCCACGTTCTGGAGCTCTTAACTCCCCTGCCAGTGGTAAGGTGAATGCTAGAAGAGGGGGTGGTCTTATTGGATTACCCAGAGCTTCTGGCTCCCTCTGGAAAGGCAAAGATATTTGGAACAGGTGAGTTGCATATTCATGGCTGGGTTTGGAGAAGGTTTACCTGAAAGAACTGTGGAGAGAAAAGTGGAGGAAGGAAGCATCACAGCAGGATCCTTGGAATGACAAGAGTTCTAAGATTAGGCATTTCCTGATACTAGCAGTGCATCAGGAGAGACCACTGACAAGCCCAACATTCTAGCAGTTGAATAAATATGTAACAAGAAACAAAGTTACTCCTATTGCTAGCATCCTAACATAAGAAACACCATACCAAGTCAAATCATATTCACCCATATTGTTTTTGTTAAAATGTTTGTTAAGCACCGACTATGCACCAGCACTGTTCTAAGAACTGAAAATACAGTAGTGTGCAAGAAACTATGGATAAATCTCTCATGAAATTTACATTTGAATGCTGTAGGTAATTTCAGATTTTTCCATGTGCTGTGTTGGAAGTTGTGGTTTCCATGTGCAATTTGGAAGGTACTATTTTTTTTTAATTTTACATTTTAAAAAAAATTTTATTATGTTATGTTAATCACCATACATTACATCATTAGTTTTTGATGTAGTGTTCCATGATTCATTGTTTGCGTATAACACCCAGTGCCCCATTCAGTACATGCTTCTTTAATACCCATCACTGGGCTAACCCATCCCCCCACCCCCCTCCGCTCTAGTTTAAAGAGGATGGGGAGAGGGACATTCTGAGGAGGTGCCTTTTCTGTTGGCTGTTGCAAAATGAAAAGGAGCTTACCCATTCCACAAGCGAATGGGTGAGAGGAGCAAAATGAATGAAAGTGAGAAGGCCCTAAGGCAATAAAGAGCTGTTGAACACTGATTTACGACTATGGCAGTTTCTGCTCAGGCAGTTTTGTCACAGAGCACTAAGGATCCTGTGGTGGGACGGTGCTTCCTGGGATGGCCTTCAAGCTGAAAGCTACCTTGGGCTTATTCTTCCTTTGTTTCTGTTGCTACTGCTCATAGGACCAACAAAGAGTGTAGGGAGGGTAATTTCGTTCCAAATATCATGCCCCTAAGATTCAGAACCTTTATATGGTATCCTTTCTTTGTCCACAGTGGTACAATGCATGTCCACTTCATTTATATGCTTATTGTAGACAGCAGGAGGGCAATAAATTACCAATAACCATACTAGTAATAGCAATAGCTGAGATTTATCGAAAACTTGTATGTGCCAAGCACCTCACATGTAGTAATTAATTTAGTCCTCAAGCTAATCCTGAGATGGGGAGTAATACTAACCCCATTCCCAGATGGGGAAACTGAGACAAAGAGAACTAAGTGATTTGCCCAGTTCATACAGCTATTAAGTGTTCAAAACTGGCAGTATGATTACAGAATCCTTATGTGCTTAAAACTAATGTACTACACCCCCCTCTTTCCTCCAGGAACAGTCTGTAAAGATAAAATAAATCCCAGGTATACACTTTCATTTTATATGGATAGTTTGTATCTCACTTAAAATACTGCAAGTGTTTCTCATACTCTATTGTTTTCATTATCCTCATCATTACTATAAATTCATCTAGTTTGAACCTGGGAATAATAGCTTTTTTTGAGGTGTTAAGATCCCCTTTTCTTTCCTTCTACCTCCATGCCTGTTTAAACTTCTTTTCAGCTCTTTAAGTTCTTGGCTAATACAGTCAATCAATCGATCAATCAATCAGTCAATCAATTGATATGTTCTGCACTCTAGTTCTCAGTTTCAGCTCAAATATCTTTTTTTGCTTGTTGTTTCAAGTTTTTATTTAAATCCTAGTTAGTTAATATACAGTATAATACTGGTTTAAGGAGTAGAATTTAGTGATTCATCACTTACATGTAACACCCAGTGTTCATCACAAGTGCCCTCCTTAATGCCATCACCCATTTGGCCCCTTCCCCACCTCCCTCCCTCCATCAACCCTCAGTTTATTCTCTATAGTTAAGTGTCAATCCCTGGTTTAAGATGTGGGAAATACAACAGTATTTCCTCTCCTTTTTTTTTTTTTGCTTCCCTTACGTTCATCTGTTTTGTGTCTTAAATTTGTTTTTATCTGACTGACTTATTTCACTTAGCATAATACACTCCAGCTCCATCCACATCATTGCAAATGGCAAGATTTCATTCTTTTTGATGGTAGAGTAATATTTTGCTACACCCGCCCCCCCCCCCAACATCTCCTTTATCCCTCCATCAGTCGATGGACATTTGGGCTGTTTCCATAACTTGGCTATTGTTGATAATGCTGCTATAAACATCAGGGTGCATGTGCCCCCTCGAATCAGTATTTCTGTATCCTTGGGTAAATACCTTTGGGTAAATACCAATTGCTGAGTTGTAGGGTAGTTCTAATCCTATATCTTTTCCTCACAATTCTGTCAATCCTCCAACTCAATCTCTTTCTTTTTCCTGCATTTCCCCCCACAGATTTATGACTTACTGTTTTGAAGCAAGTTTTGAGGATGGACTACCAGGCACTTGACTAAGTTCACTTTTTAAAAAAACAAATATTTTATTTATTTATTAGAGAGAGAGAGAAAGCACAAGAAGGGGGAGGGGTAGAAGGAAAGGGAGAGGGAGAAGCAGACTCCCTGCTGAGCATGGAGCCCAATACAAGGCTCAATCTCAGGACTGAGATCATGACCTTAGCTGAAGTCAGCCACTTAACTAACTGAGCCACCCAGGTGCCCCGAATAAGTTCATTTTACCAGGTAATCTTACTTTTGCATGCCAGGCAGTTAGTATTTGTGCAATTAAAATTTGTCACTTAGATAAATAACAACCAATAAATTTTATTGGGTGAAATTAATTGGGTGAATTTTTTTCCTACTTATGAGTTTTCCTTGCCTTTATGAGCAATTTCTTAGTTTACTGGAAACTAACGAACATAATAAATCAAGTAAAGCTTAAGAGATTATACTGTATATGAAAATAAGAAGTAAAATAGATTTCATTTTATAAAAACAGAAAGTAACTCCAAATACTCTAAAAAAAAAAAAAAACCTCAAAAACCTTTAGTTAGTGGAAAAATGGCTTTTTATTATCAATTCATTCATTCATTTCTTTTCATATTTTAAGCCAAATCTAAAAAATTCTAACAAATCACACAATGCCTTCTAAATTTGACTTATATATGAGAATGCCATATAAGAAAACATAAATTAGAGAGCTAAACATTATCATTGACTTTACTTCATTTATATTTCTTTTTTTTCCTTTTCATTTATATTTCTAGTCAACATATGCAGTTCCTTTCATAAGATGAATTAGCTACCTAACTTCACTCAACAGGTTTTACTTATTCATCTCTATGTGTGCTACAGAGCCCTGGACAAAATGACCAAAATACACCAGAGCAAGACATGTGAAAAATTCCTTACCTTTAAAGAAGACAAAATTCCCATCACTGTTTTCATAAACTGCATCGATACTAGGAGGCAAGCCCCGCCAGAAGTAAGTAATTTGCATGGGGTATCCATCCATCACCCTGTTGTTTCTCACTCGCCAAAACCACTGGTCCTGCAAACCAAGCAAAAGCATCTCTCAACAAACATGCAGGCCTCCATGGCATTTCCCTGTGCAATGGTGTAACCCTTCTAAAACTAAACTAGTATCATTTTCACTGTCTCACACCAAAACCATCAAAGAAACAGCTAATCAACTTGCTTACAGTGATCACAATTGTTTTTGTAGCTAACCGCCCAATCTTTAATCCATACAATGTGATTAAAAGATAATATAAAAATATTTAACCTTAGCATTTTACATTATCTCCAGGGCTTTTAGATGGAAAAAAACAGAAGTAGCACAGACAAATCACTGCCAGATTTGTGGATTAAGTCACTTTCCTGAGTAAGAGAGCAGCATTGGACTTGTATACATTTACAGACATATACTAGATCTCCACACCTAAAATGTTAGGGATGGAATAAAGAGGCCATCCCTCCTGCTATGCCCACATTATACCCATTATCCCCTGTAACTGTAAGTAGTGTCCTCTTTCACCCTCAAATATATTTTGGTCTGGATGATAAATTATATGGTCACCCTAAATGAACAAAGTTATCTTGAAAAAAATCATCACAGTGATTCCAATCTGGGTCAACTGCCTCTCCTATATGCTCTCACAATATCCTGACTTTACTCAATCATAGCATCAGTCATTTTATGTAAAAAGTGTCTACTCTTATATCTAGTGAAAATACATGACTTGCCCCATAGCAAGTATTTTTTTTTTTTTTAAGATTTTATTTATTTATTTGACAGAGAGAGACACAGCGAGAGAGGGAACACAAGCGGGGGAGTGGGAGAGGGAGAAGCAGGCTTCCTGCTGAGCAGGGAGCCCGATGCGGGGCTCGATCCCAGGATCCTGGGATCATGACCTGAGCCGAAGGCAGACGCTTAACGACTGAGCCCCCCAGGCGCCCCCCATAGGAAGTATTTATAAATGTTGTTGAATTAATCACTAGCTTGCATACAATATGTTTCACCATAAATTCTTACTAATGGCAAAAAAAAATAACTTCCAAAAAAATGTTATTCCTGATGACATTCAGTTATTTTCTATGGAAAATTTCAGAATAAAGACTATCCAAGTGCTTTAGTATTAGAAAAACTCGGTATATTTTAAAATATACCATTTCACTTCATTTCAAAATTTTGTATTTACAAACAACATTTCACTTGGAGATCACATATTTGTACTACTTAGATAAGTATGTTTCACGAAAATACTTCCAATTTCCCCTACTTAGACATTAATGAGTGATTTATTATAGGGCTTTCCCAATCTTTTGGCTTACAATAGTTTAGCCTGACTAGATTTTCTAGGATTTGTGAGTTATTCATATAGTCATTCACACACCACAATCAACTGGGGATTCTTGGATTTCAGGTGAAATGATAAAAATGAACCTTTTCCTGTCTAAACCAATCCGAATATAAAAATTTTCTTAGGAATCTTTGGATAGTTGTACTTCATTCTAGTTATCCCGAGCTGTCTTCTCTACGAACTTTTTTATAAAAAGAAGGAAGTAGCTTAATTAACAGCTCTAAGTTTGTATCCTATTCTTGCTCTGTCCCTTAATAACAGTTATCCTGGTCAAGATACTAGTCATTGAGTTATTACAAACTAATAACTGATTCATAGTATAAATACTGTCTTATTTTATTTACTTTATTTTATTTTTATGTAGGCTCCATGCCCAGTGGAGCCCAGTGCAGGGCTTGAACTCAAAACCCTGAGATGAAGACCTGAGCTAAGATCAAGAATAGGACACTTAACGGACAGAGCCACCCAGGCACCCCTAATTACTGTTTTAAGGACTTTCTGAGGACCTGGCACACAGTTGGCTGTTATTATCATTAAAATTATATTGAAACTAGTTATTTTATTTTCCTTCACAATCCTGTTTACAGTTCTAGCTGCTGTTCTTTGTTCCCTCTTCAGATTTAAGCCATATTATGGCTCTAGCCATGCATCTCTTTTCTACCAATATCTTCTTATGTTATTAACCTTTTCTTGATAATTTTTATGGTGCCAGCTAACCTGGAATTAATACATATCTTGATTCACATATAGCAGACACATTAAACTGATTTTAAAATACAAAGTTATTCTATGAAAAAAATTGATCCAGGAAAATTAACATGGGCATGAAGATCCAGGGCTTACTGCTAATAGTATGTGAGCAGATGATATTTTGATCTGATTTATTTTTATTTTTTTATAGGCTTATTTATTTATTTGAGAGAGAGAGAGAGAGAGAGAGAACATGGCAGAGAGGGGTGGAGGAAGAGGGAGAGAGAAACCCAAGCAGACTCTGCATTGAGTGTAGAGCCCAACACAGGAGTCCATCCCAGGACCGCAAGATCACAACCTGGGCCAAAACCGAGAGTCAGAGGCTTAATCAACTGCACCACCTAGGTGCCCCTATTCTGATAATTTAAAAGAAAGCCAGCATCTTTTTGTCGAACTATGAGAGCTTTTAACTGGGTATTAAAACTATGCCAATCTCTACCTAAAATACTGTTTTTTGGTTTTTTTTTTTAAGATTTATTTATTTTAGAGAGAGAGAGAGCATGAGTGGGAGGGGCAGAGGGAGAGGGAGACAGAAACTCAAGCAGACTTCATGCTGAGTGCAGAGCCCAATGCAGGGCTTCATCTCAAGACCCTGAGATCAGGACCTGAGCCGAAACCAAGAGTCAGATGCTTAACCAGTGTGCCACCCAGGTGCCCCTCCACATAAAATATTCTTAAGTTATTGTAATAGATATCCAAAAATTATAAAAAATGGACTCGGACAAAGAAATAACTGACCATCATTATTAATGGAACAATGAAACTGAAAGCTCTCTGAGCTGAAAGATCAGAAAAAAATCAGGTAAAAAAAAAAAGCCTGAACTATATTCCAATTTTTCTCAGAGAAGCATTTCACATTGTTCTATCTCCCTAATACTGAGACAAGGCCAGTGGCTTCTTTGGGACAGACATATGCTGCTGTGTGAAGATAGGAACACAACCTCAACTTGCCACTAATATGGGAAGAAATGGAAATTTTGCCTCAAGATAAGCATAGTCAATTTGCAAAAATTCAGAAAGTAATACGGAATCATAGGTGAATTCAGAATGATTTCTCATTTACAGCAGCCTTGGCGGAGAGTGATATAAATCGTCAATATTCAGGTTGTGCTTCTATTCAACTTATCCACACCTTCTCAGAGTGGTAGAAAGCAATGGTACAAATAATTTAGCAAGCACTCTGTCACAGAGGCTGTAAACATATCACAGTCACTCTAGATTGCCATTTCAGAAATTGAGCTTGTGAACGATTCATAGAGAGAGGATATTTAAAATGCTCTTTAAGTCTCTATGCAAATTTTCCTTCTAAGTGAAACCTCCTCTGACCACACTATCTAAAATTGAATTCCCTCACTCCACCCACCCACATGTGCTTTGAATCTCACCCTCCCTTGCTTTATTTCCCTTCACCATGTTGATTACTGTTTAACACAGTACACGTTTTATTTATTGTTCATTCTCTCTCCACTAGAATATAAGCTCCACAATGGCAAAGATATCTGTCTTTGTTCATTAGTGGTTCCCCATTTCCAGAAAAATGTCTTGCACATGGTAGAAGCTTACTAAATATTTCTTGAAAGGAAACACATTTAAGGAGGAAAGGACAAAGTAAAGGTAAGTTATCCTTTTAGAAGTCAAAAGCTATGCAGATTTCACAAGAATACACAAGTTCCACTTGAACAGGCAGATGTTTAGTATATATTCCATTATTTAGAAAGGTATGATATATAAAGGTCTTTGAACCATGCAGGAAAAAAAAAAAAATTGTTTCACTCTTCCAAACAATGTAGGTTTTGTTTTGGCATTCGGTGTAAAGGGAAAGAAAGAAGAATCTGAGCTCTAAATCTGTTGTTTCTATCTTGCTACTGGCCTTTTTTGGCTACAGCCCTTATAAAAGGGGGTGGGAGGGGTGAAAGCATACCCTAAAAATAGTCAAAACTAGCACATTTGCAAAATCAACTCATGAAAAAAATAGTGCTTAAAAACTATCAAAGAGGAATTCCTACTTAAACCCCAATATTTCCCTTTAGATACAAGTTTACACAGATTTCTCTTTCCATGTAGCAAGAGTCCCAGGCAGACCACTTTGTTCACAAAGATAACAAATACAGAGTACTGCAGGATGTACACCATGAGACAATAACATACAAGAGAAATTGGTTTGCTTTTTTAAATTCCCTTTAAAATTCTGTCTTACTACAGGCATATTGTTTGCTGACAACTCTATCCTCCTGCTGTCTGAATACGAAGATCGGTTATGGATCTACTCTCAGGAGAGGGTGCTATTTTCAGACTTCTTTTTAGAAGCCAATTAGTAGACCTGATCTACTTTTACTTCTCTTCTAATATACGTATTTGTTATTTAACCAAAAACTTGATGGAAATCTGTGAATGCCTCACGTGTCCAAGCTGAACATTTCCAGAAGGCATCAGTTGCTCTCTCAGCCCTCGCCTGCCATGCGACTGTGGGCTTCCTCCAGTCTTCCCCACCTCGGAAATAGCATCTCAGAACTCTTGATTCCTTGCCATCATCACTGTCACCATCCTACTCCGAGCCGCCACTGTATTTCACAGACTGCAGTGCCAACTCAAAGCTACCGATTTGCCTCCTACTGCATCTAAAATGGAATTTGAACTCGGCCCTTGTCTCCAGCCCCTGCACATCCATTGCAGGTCCCTTTTGTGCTCATGACGCTCTACCTAGTCTCTAGATCCTGTATTTAGAGATGCAGTTTCCTGCTATCAACAACTTTCTTTCAAATGTTTCACCAAAAACTTGGGCATGCATGTTGCATTGCTTTCTCTCTTTCTCTCTCTCACACGCACACAGAGAAAATACAGGCAAGCAGTTAAAATTGTTAAATCTAGATATTAAGGGTGCATGTATTCATTCTTCCAACTTTTCTGTATTTTTGGAATTTTTTATAATAAAATGTTT